AAGAAAAAAAGGAAAAGCTAAAAACTGGAAGAAATTGAGTATTATTTCAGGGACAGTTTGCCTGAAACCAACTCACTAACCACATTTTCTCAAAACAAATAATGGGCAATGAAGGAGAGGAGAAAATTAAAAAGTTCAATAAATGCGTTTCTGTACTTGTATATATAACATTTTAAAAAGAAAGACCACTAAGACACATAGGTTTACTCAAATCATCAAATCATAAAAAATATTTTATTATGATTTTGGAAAATAAACTCCTTAAAGCACAGCACCAAACTGAAAGGAAATTTCACAACCCTGAAATACAATGAAATTGTCATAATTTCAATAAGGGTTAATATCGGCAATGACTATTGCTGTTACCAGAACTCCCCTCCTCCCTAAAAAGTCACTTATTAAAGTAGGAAAAGTAGAAGAATATGCACTGACAGAAACTAACAACCAACCCCTTCTTTCTTCTCTGACAGCAACTAACAACCAACCCCTTCTTTCTTCTGTGCCTCTCTAAAGCAGGAACAGGATTTTCATATTTTTTCCTGGCTGAAATATTAATTTCTCCCACATTCAGCCTCATCTGAGGCACTGAAACAAACAAGAATCTGCTCAGAACCTGGCGTGGTGAGGAGCACGGTCCCGCTGGAGCTGCCACCAGGCAGCGATGTGACCCGGGGCACAGCCCCGGCTGGGTTTCGGGCACACCCCAGCACCAGCAGACACCGCCCTGGGGAGCTGGGGCACAGCCTGATCCACGCACCGGGCTGGGGACAGAGCCCTGGCAGCCGGGAGTGAGGAGCCTCAGTGCCGCCATCTCCTCACCACCGGCAGCGCTGCCCTTGGGAGACCTCCCCTTCCTCGTGGTGTTTTCTCAAAACACAGTTATTTGGCATATTGCTCTTGGTAAAATCTTTATTGGCATCATCCTGCACAGCAAGACAGGAAGGGAAAGTAATTACCCCTTCTATTCTGCAGCTTGATAACAAAACATTCCTGTGAGTTTCCCACATGCCCACAAATCTTATTTTAATAGTTTTCCAGAAATGGTTTTTCTCTTTAATTCTTGCCAAAGAAAAAGAGATCCATACATTACATATGAAAGAACTGAAGATCTAATTCCACATTAAAACCTGTTTATCAGTCAGTTTGTGTGGTTTTTTCAGTGCTCACCTCAATGACTGGCAAATGATTTGAACACAAAAGGTACCAACAATAATTTATAAAAAGTGAGTGTTCTAGTGCCAGGATAATATTAGGTCCTTTGGTCTAGCCCAAATGCAGCAGATTAGAACTTACCAGACCGGAGCATCAATGAGAGTTTTGGGTGCACAATAAACATAACTCTGAATCCCAGCTAAGTAGGGATTCTCCTGTGGGTTCAGATTTATTTAGTGGAAGGAATAGGGGCCAATATGTCTCTTTTTCTCCCCACCTTCCCCCTGTTAGTTACAAAAAATTTAACAATCAGACATATTTATTCTTAAAAATAATAGCGTAACAGTGGTCATACTTTTCTGAACTCCACCAGTTTGCGGCAACTGGAGCACATATTTTTTATTCCAAAATGACATAAAAATATTTATGGCTTTTTAACTAATGTTATTCAATAATACTAATGGTACTGTAAATTTGCAAGAAGCCTAAAGTCAAATCTGAAGTCATGATCAAAAGAGCTTTTCAAGCTGACAAGCAACATCTGGAATAAGACAGCAACAATCCCAGACATACTTAGTCTTTGGAGAACTGAATCGTAACAAGAAATTATGTGCTTTGCAATCATGTAGTTCTCATGTAGCAATATCAGTATTCTGGTAGAGGTTAATATGTAATGCCTGCTTTTCTAAGAATGAATTTGACCATGTCAGCATGATCTCTAAATTTAAACTCGTTTGGAGAAATTGTCCTCAGGAAATGTATTGAATGTGACATATGTTCATACACAAACAGCTAAAATTACTGGTGCCTTTCAGTTGTTAGATACACAATTTGCAGTACTCTCTTTTATGGCTTAAAAAGTTATTTTCAAAAATAGTGTGAAAGAGAAAACTACACACATTTGCAGCAAAGCCCTGTGTTGGACTACATCTTTCCAGAGACTGCTTATTTGGTATCTTACTTAGTCAAATTATCTACGTTATAAAGCTAATATATCATCTACTATTAAAACAGTCAGCTCTGTAAATTCTCCAGGTATGAAAGTGAAAAGGGACACCTAATGCCTTGGAAATTCTACAGAAATATTTCGGCTTTATTCTACCTCTAAAGGTTTTACCCACAGCCCCAGACAAGCTGCACCTAATTCCACTCCAGAGGAAGAAGTCTCTATTACAGCTCGGCATCAACTGCGTTTTGCAAAATAGGTAAAGAGATACCAGTCATTTAAACAAGGTAAGACTCAGCTGGGACAGACTTTTATATGTTCAGGACTCTTTTCATGATTTCTTGATTAAAATGAGTTGTTAAGACAATAGTCAGATAATCAACCTTAAATTCTTTCATTTAATTTTTCAACTGGTTGGTGTTTGGTTTTTCCTTTAAAAACATACAGAATTCTTCTGAACACTCGAATTTGATCTTTTGGCAGGTAATCTTTTCGGAAAGAAGCCCCAAAATAATCCTAAATAACTAAAAGAAACACTTTGAAAACCAAATGAATATAGGGATTTAAGATATTTTTAAAAACACGTAAAAGTTACAGACAAAGTTTGAATATTTTGCATACAAATACATCAAATACAAGTTTATGCCACGGTCCAGGGTTAGGTCACATAAGAGGGATTGACTGGATCTAAACACACAATATGGGGCAAAGTACAGATTACACCATCTATTTGACACTTTGACTGAATAAAAAGTTTCCCATACATTTACCAGACTTCATCTTAAAAAAAAAAAATCAAATCCTGCCACTACTGAAGAAAAGAGCAAAACTCCTGTAAAAGACTCCAGCACCACCTTTCAGTCATGTTTTCATTAATGCATTAAGCTATTATACTGGCTTCTTCCATCAATTACATTATTAAAAGAAAAAAATTAAATTGAAGCAATTACCAGTCTTTCTGATGTTTCAGCCAGAAAACTAACATAAACAAAGAAGTTAAAAAAAATATTTTGCACCCTGACAATCTGCATAAATGATCTCATTTTGTGAACACACACGTACTGTTGTAAGAAATTGGAAGAACTACCTGCCTAGAAGGAAAGTTGATTTTGGTGACACAGTTTTGTGTGACTGGAGCTTCATAGTGCAGCGTTTTCAAAACATTTGACTATTGAAAGTGCAAGTCTCTAAGTACCAGACCACAGAACTGATATTCACAAATTTGTTTGCATTACACCAGGTGCTAAAGGTGCTAATCTCCCCCCATAAGAAGAGTCCTGTGGCATTCTCTGAGTGGCACATGCCAGCAAATTGAAATGCACAGAGATGTTTTCAGACAATATTTGACAGAAGAGAAAACAAGAAAACAGTAAATGAAAACAAGCAAAAAAGCGACACTTTAAGACACAATAAGAACTAGATAATTTAGCCATGAAAGAGGAAAAATCCTTGTTCAAATTCAAGAACTGAACACTACATCACATCCAAGCTGGCACTCATTTAAGGAACAAGCAAGCACAGGCGCTCCTTGTGTTGATACTGATCCCTGTTCTCTGCCCAAATCGTAGTCACAGGTAATCATTAGTGAAATCAAGCAGCTCAGAGCTGAAGGGTGGAAAACCTCCTCTCTCTTGAATCTTGACAGAATACTTCTGAAGAAGAATTGACTAAATTCTTTTTCAAAGAAAAAGAAATGAGAAATGTATAGCCAATCTAAAGCAGAGTCTAATTCACAGACAATAAAGGGGACGAAGGACCTCCTCACACAGGAAGGAAGCAGCACAATTTCAGTTCAAGAGAATGGGAGGAAGCCATCCTGAGCATTCCACATATTTGCTCCTTAATATTCTCACCTCACTCTCTATCTCCCCTTAGAAAAGCACTCATGTGAGAAGAAAGAGAGGTTAGGGAATCAGCTCTCTGTGCTCATGCAGAGCAGGAAAAGTGATGCAGAACTCAAAACTCAGAAAGTTTTTGGGCAGGATATGTGAAGGGAACTCTACTAAGATATTTAATACCCTGTTTTATTCCAAGCCTTTTGAACTGCACATGAAAATTTTTGCATTTTGAATTTACCAAGAAAAGCACATCTTTCTACATGTTTGCCTTAGAGAATTTGGGTGTCTTCCAGGCTGAAACACCTTCCTGAGCCATCCACCATTCTTTCTCAATCCTTTCAGATTCCACAAAATGATTTTGAGGGGGAAGAGAGCAGGAGGGTGGGGGGGAAAGGGTGCAGACGACAAACTGTGCAGAAACCGTCCATCTTTCGCTTCTGAGCCCATGCCAAGAGCCCGGGGTAACCCTTGACCGGAGACAGAGCCCTCTTGGCAGTCCCGCCTTCCACAACCCCTCCAAGGGCAGCTGAGGGAGCGAAAGGGCAGCGCATCGGCTTTCAAGCTAAGCCGCTCCCCTCTGAAAAAGACACTCCACAACACGCAGTGATTTTTTTTTTTTCTTTTTTTTCTTTTTTTTTTTTTTTTCGCAAGGATATCCTCCCCGCGGATGAGCGGCTCTTTCCACGCGTAGTGCCAAGATCCATCCTTCCCTCCCCGGCCGCACACACGGCACTCGCTGGGCGTGTAGCCGGGGCTCTATGTAACCCCGAGCGGCACAGCCCCTCTCCGCCACAGCCGCTCTCGGGGATGCCGCCCGCCCCGGGGGCCGCGCCGCCGCCCCTGCCCGCCGCCGGCCCGCGGGCAGCACCGCCGCGGCGGAGCAGAAAGTGAAAGTGCGGCTGCCGGCGGAGCCCCATGGGAAAGGCGAAGCGCGGCCGTGCCGCCGCCGCTCCGGACAGCGCCGCGGTGCCCCCGGGCGGGCGGGCGCCGGGGGGCTGCTGAGCCCGGCCCGGCCCCTCCCGGCCCCTGCGCGGCGCTCCGCGGGCTGCGGCCGTCATGGCCCACGCGGCGCCGCCACTATGACCGCGGACCCGTCGGCGCAGCTCCCCGACAGCCTCCGCACGGACCATGTTCCATGGTAAGGAGCGCGCCCCGCACCGCACCGCCCCGCTCCGCTCCGCAGGAGGCGCCCGCCTCACCTGCCCCCGGGCCGGCCGCGCTCCGCTCCGCACCCCGGCCGCGCTGGCTGCTCACCTGCTCCGCTGCCTCCGAGCCGGCCCGCCCGCTCTGCCGGCGCGGTGCTTCCCGGTGCCTTTTAAACCCTTGGTGACGGCTGGGGAAATTCCCGGTTTTGCTTTTTTTTTCTCTTTTCCCCGTAGAATGAAAGTAAAAGAGTCCGGTTCCCATCACGCCTGCTGCCGGGAAGGGCGGCTCGGGAGTGGCAGAGGCAGCGGGACAGCGTGGGGCGGGGGAGGTGCGGGAGGCACTGCTCCGCGCCGGTCCGCGCTGCTCCCACCGCCCTTCCCGAGGGCACCTGCCTTTCCATGGGCACCTCCCTTCTCGTGGGCACCTGCCTCCCGTGGGCACCTGCCTCCCGTGGCCACCTCCCTTCCCGTGGGCATCTGCCTCCCGTGGGCACCTGCGTGCCGTGGGCACCTGCAGCCCCGCGGGTGCCCGGGGAGCAGGTGCGGCGCAGCGCCGGGGGTGCCTCGCCCCCGGGCGGGAGCGCTCGCCGCTCGCCCCTCCGCACGGGTGCAGCAGGACCAGGAGGGAAAAGAACGGCAGTGACCCGTCCCGTTCCCTGCGGGAATTGCGGGCTGCGGAGAGGGAAAGGGGACAGAGGGAGCGGCCCCCGCCGAGATTGGGGTTGTGAGACACAGGGGCTACTGCGAGGATCCCGCTGGGTGCCGCCGAGGACGTGCCCCCGGGTATATGCACAGGAGAATGTTTTAACGTTAAAAAGCCAAGAGGTTTTGGTGTTTTTTTTGTTTCCTTTTTTTTTTTTTTTTTTTTTTTTTTTTAATATGTGGAAATACTGGAAAACTAGCTCTTCCTGGATTTTCTAGGAGAATTTTTGGGGCTTTCCAGATATGACTTTTGAGTTTCTGGGAGTTTACTGGAAAAATGGGTTTTTACCAGTAATGCTGTCTTTCTTTTGAATTGCTGGCCATATGGAGCGCCATAAACTCCCATTCTTTCGAAGTTACCCAATTTCAAGAAAATCCCTTTCAATTTTCAGTCTAGATCTCATAGAATTTTTTAATGACACATGTCTAATATTTTTTCCAGAGGACTCATTTAGGAATGTCTGAAAAATTTTGATTACCATCCTGCAGTGGCTCAAGGGACCTCATGAGTGGGCAACATGTGATCAACTTTTATTCTGTAATTTCCTCATTTAAAAAAGATTGGTGATCTGTACAATATTTTATCTCTTATCTGTACTTGTTGCTGGGCAAGCCAAGTTTAAAGTGATGGAGTCAGATTGTTTTAATTTAGAGGATTGCTATTTTCGTCCCTTCAAGTATGTTTGTGAAGCAGCATATCCAAATTGTTTGTATTACCCTACTGGTGAACAAGCATTGCAGTTCATCTTTTGCACTGGAATCAAGAGGTGCAATGGGAGATTGGAAAAATGTTGCCCTATTGTTGAGTTCTTCAATGTTTTTTGTGTCTTTTAAAATACTAAATCTTAGTCCTTCAAACTGTTAAATCATTCAGCAGAGATACAGTTAGCATAGAGATTTACAAAGATAAAGCTCTGTGGAAGTCAGGTGTGTCCACTTGGAGCTTGAAGATCATAATAGTCACCTTACAGAGTTTTAAAATTTACTACATGTAGCATCCATTTAAGATTCACTTAGCCCATCAGGTTAGATTTCTTGAGACATTAATAGACCTCGGTTGATCAGTATGTGAAAAGGTCAGAAAATCTACTTTTCAACCCATGAAATTTCCAATTAGAATTTCTCAGGCAGCTTGCTCAAGAATTCTGTGATTCAGCTTGTACGGGTAAAATTTTTCCAGTCCTGTTTCTAGGACAGAGGTGTACATAACCACACGTTCACATGCAATCTATCAGAAAGAGAAGGCTTCACTAGTCACTATGCATTCTTCTTTGAGGATTCAGTCTGCTGTGTGTGGTGGGAGCTGGCTGGGATGGGCTGTAAGGGACTGTGTTTCTTTTAATGGCAGTGAGTATGTGGTGTGCCTGTGGTTCTTGCATTGCAGAGGATAAGTGGGTCAATGCAAACTATCGTCAAGTTTCATTGCTGTTTTATTAGTTGCTCAAAATTGCTCTCTGAGGCCATGATTTACTAGTGATGCCCAGGTCCAGAGGTGCCCATCTCTTGAGTGCTGGACTGGCTGTACCCAACAGCCCATGCCTGACAGAGAGGAAGGAAAGCAGCAGCTGGAGCCAGGGCATCCCCTCTTCCTTTCCTGGCTCCTGTCCCACAGCTACTCTGTGTGCAGTTGTTGTTCTTACTCAGTGGTGAAGATGGGCAGAAACACTACATACTCCTCCAGGAACTTGCTGTGATCTTTGCTAGTCCTCCATCATAAATTTCTACCTTTGTTTTTCCCAAACCTTCAATTTAAGCATTCTCCTAGCCAGACTAGCAATAGGCCAGAGTCCAGTTATTCCTGATCATGTATTATCACGTACTCGGTCTCCTTCTTTCCCAGCACCAGGTGAGTCACCTGCGGCCTCCTGTCAGTCTCTTCAGGCTCTTTTGATGTTTTGGTCTTTTTTCTCTGCCCATCCTCACAGAACACATAGTTTCCTGGTTGTCATGCAAAGACAGAAGACCAGGGGTCAGAGCAAGGGAAAGCAGTCCAGTACAGGGACAAAGAAAGTGATGGGCAGTGAAGTTTGCTCAAAAAGATTGCAGAAATCTTGTGGAGAAGGTTGTGTTGCTGCTTTATCTCATGTTATGGCCAGTAAGCATGGATTTGTACATTTGGTCAGCCTGAAAATGTGTTTAAACACGCTTTTGTTATGGAGGTGTGTTCATGGGGATTTGTAGAAGTTGTCAAAGGAAAAATGGACAGTCAAGATCCAGCTGCAGGTTAAGACACTTGAATGTCTGAACATAATATGATTAAACACTCCTCTACATGTGTCCAATGTGGTTACGGTCCAATAAAATACCATGTGAATTCAGTCAATGCTGAGGATGAATTCAGCCCAAGCAGTCACCAAGTAGCTGGTCAGCTCAATAGCTGTAGTCTCTTATCTTTCACCATGACATTTTCTGAAAAATCCCTTCGCTAGGATTTTTCTCCTGAGAAGCTGAGAAGCCTCAGAAAAGAAATGTAAACAATAATTATCTGATTGCTTGGAATGTGGTCTGGAGGTGGCTTACCAACAGGTGCATCTTTGATTGGTTCCATGTGAATTGATTTTAATTAATGACCAGTCCCAGTCGAGCTGTGTTGGACACTCTGGTCAGTCATGGGTTTTTCTTATTCATTCTTGTCTAACCTTCTGATGTCTCCTTTCTCTTTCTTTAGTATAGTTTTAGTATATAATTTCTTTTAATAGAGTATAATATAAAATCATAAAATAATAAATCAGCTGTCTGAGAACTTGGAGTCAAATTCTCATCTCTCACCTGATCCTGGGGACCCTCAACAATGCCACAACACTTATCCACACTGGCTGAATCATCTTGTGGTATGGGGGAGTTTAGACACCCAAAAAGTGTCTTAATCTGGAGATGAATCCTTCCCTCTAGCAAGGCACAAGTCATTTGGTTGTACAAAGATCCCTTTTAAACTATTTTAACAGATTACAGAATGTATTTGTTAATACAGCACACAGTCTGTGACATTAACTAACATGTACCTTACTGTTCTTACAATCCAGCCTTTTTTAGATCTACCTTACCAGTTCTGCCACTTCTCCTTGTTCTGTCTCCAGTGAATGCATCTACTTGTGCAATGGGAAATAAAACAACAGAAATCCGTGTGAAGTATGAGAATATACTAAGTCACGACATCAATGAGCTGGTAGGTAGCAGCTCTTGGGCTTCCAAAACATGCTGATTATTTTTAGATGCTAACAATTATTAATAAAAGTTCTAATGTTAAAACATGATAAAAGACCAATTTACAGTCACACATTATGCTGGAATGGTGGTTTTGTTTGAGGAGGTGCAACAATTCAGTCTCTTTAAAATCTCTGAAATCTGTGGATAGTGCCTATTTGCATGTACAAATAATGTGATACAGTTTTTTGTGCCTGTGCATTATGTAGACACATGTACTATTTGGCCATACATCATATATTTGATTAGAAAGTACTTTTTTCTAAAGTAATTTCATTACTACTTCTCTTTATATGATTTTATCAAGAGAAGAAAGCATTACAGCTGTAATTTGTTCTACTACTTAGAGTTCTTGACTGAAGTTTTGTGTTGTCCATTGAATACAAATGCACAGTGGCACAAAATTCATATGACAGTAAAAGTTTGTTTGTGTCCTAATAGGTTTCTTTGTACCTATTAATATATCTTATTTAGCCAAAACAAATTATCTTTTCTAGATGGCAGCAGAGAAGAGCTTAACATTCTCATGTGTAAATCTCCTCCATTATGGCTTTATCAGCCACATTTATTATAGCTTTGCAAAATAGTTTCTTAACAGTTTACCAGTCCATGCCCAAAATTTACCTTACAATTCTTCCTCATGAATTATTAGCAATTAAATTAATCTGTCAAGAACAGTTCCATGGGGGAACACTTAAAACAGTTGTATTAGTAGAGGCATTCCCACAAAAAATGTGATTTTCCTGACAGATTGTCACTAAATGAGAATTCACCATACTGTTGCAGTCTTAAATCAAGATCTATTTGCATGAAATACAAATAATATGCAACCTTTTTCCAAGGGAAAAATCAGGGAATCATTGCATTTCTTCACACGTATGAACTACCACCATCCTTCAGAGCATTATGGCAGTGGTCTCCAACCCAAGACACATCAACCCTCATCTGGAAACAAAATACCTTTAGGGTCAAGGAATGATCTTTTAACATTTTGATCATGTTATGTTGGTTGAGGATATGAAGAGAGAAGGGTATTTCTCTGCAGATAAATGACTTTATCCTGAATGAGGCATCAAATTTAGAGAGAATATTAATGGCCATATTAGAATAGAGGAGTATTCCCTTTAGTTTGCTGTTGTATTTCTGACAAAGAACAAGTATTCCCTAGAGAACAAAACCAAACTCTCTTGGTGAGCAGTTAGAAGATAGCTGACCTGTAAGAGGAAATGATACGAAGGAATAACATCCTCTGGGAAGCAGATCCTGCTGCCTTCTGGTGCTGGGGATCCATGAGGTGCATCCTAGCCCTGCTCAGGGAGGCTGGGGGACTCTCCTGGCCTGGATAGGGCAATGCCTTGCCACTGTCCTATTGTAGGATGGAGCTTGATGTTATATATCAAAATAAATACATAAATAAAACCTTAATGAATTAATATTTGTGAAAACTAATGGGAATGTACTGAGCTCTGAAGCTTTTACTTCCTAGAAGACATACACAAGCAACTACTATGTAAGTTTCTTAATTTTTTCTGCCTTTACTTTTCACTGTTTAAGAGAAATTAAGAGTTGTTTCCTGCAACTGCAGAGCCAAAGTCAGTAGCTTTCAGTTCCTCAGCCAGATGTTTGGAGCAGCTGTGGGTTTGCTGCAGAGCAGGATAGTGAGTCATATCCTAGATCTCTGTAAGGTAATTAAATTTTCACTAATGCCTTTTCTGAGCTCAGGATTTCCCTTAGGTTGGTTTAGACACAGCCAATGAACTACCTTCAGATGTGGTTACTGTACATTATACTAAAGGTGATCTGAGGAAGCTAGAGAGGATGGGAAAATCTCATGGAAGTTAGCAAATAAAGTGACAGATCTATAGCTTCTGTATGATTATATATATACATATATATATATATGTAATTATAAATTTTGGTGCTGTGACTGGAGCAATACCTGTTGTGGTGCAAGAAAAGATGTGCATTAGCTTCCTGATGTTTGTGGTTTGGGCTTTTTAATTTGGTTTTGCTCTTTTGTGGTTTTTCCTTTGTCAGTGAATATTTGATTCCCTACACTCTTGGTTTTAAAAATGCATTTTGGATAAAGTTCTGTTTATCTTGGGTGACCTTCTGAAATTCAGGCAATTTCTGCAGAAAAACTTTAGGAATTAACTGTCTGATGTGCTCATACGCATGGCTAAGTGAAGAGATCTAAAACAATACTGTTGTGAGCTGCCTTTTTTAAAGCCTTTTGGCTTAACTGGAATGTCTGGATACAGGCTGAAGACAAAGTTTCTATTGAGTTGACTTCCATTGTCATCTTGATGACAAGTGTGAAAGTGGAACAAAAAACTACAAGAGAGGATAAAGTGTTGATAAAATATTATAATCAGGCAAAAGACCATGTGATGTTGCTTAGGCCATCTTCTGTTATTACATATACAAAGTGGGTGCTGCCATCTGTTTAGAGCTGAGACATGTATTTATTGAGACAAACATTGACAAACACTGTATTCAATGCTACAATTCAATTGTAAGATTTAAACATTGCTCTGTGTCTCAAAATTTCCAAAGAACAAAGCAATTTAATAGAATGTGAAGATTTAAATTGAACAGATTTGTGTCCATTTCTGGGCTCCCCAGTATGAGAGAAATATGGAGCTACTGGAGAGAGTCCAGCAAAGGGTCATGAAGATGCTGAAGGGACTGGAGCATCCCTCTGATGAGGAAAGCTGAGAGAGCTGGGGCTGTTCAGCCTGGAGAAGAGAAGGCTCACAGGGATTTCATCCATGTGTGGAAATAACTCAAGTGAGTGGGCAAAGAGTGCAGAGCCAGGCTCTCATCCACAGTGCCCAGTGATGGGCCCAGGGGCAGTGGGCACACACCAGCACACAGGAGGTTCCTTCTGAACATCAGGAAAGAGCTTTTTACTGTCAGGGTGACTGAGCACTGACACAATACTTCCATGTCTAAACATATATGATATTTTACAGGTAAATATGTCTGCAGAGAATTATGACTGGTGCTGCAATAAGAAAAAATATGAAAATATCAAAGTGTTTTTCTGCAATGATACTGAGGTAAAATTTAACTTTTCAGAATGTAGAGAATACAAGCCCAAGTGAGTTCTTTTTACAGTCCAGGATAAAATAGGGTGATAGGTTAGTATTTGGTTTTAAAAGTCAAATCACAGTATTCAGGGTGGTTTGTTTTTTGAATCTGAAATTATATGTGTTGAGTAAATTGATATTTTAAACATTTAAATATTAAGCAATTCCATATTTAAGAAATATGGGGTTTTATTGCCTACTATGAAGATTCTTCTATATTTTTTAAACAAAATAGATACTTTTCTTTTTACCAATGGAAGTAAATATTTCAATTTCCCAATCTCTTTTTAAAATTTTTTTACAGAAAGTTTTATTAGCTAAACTTTTCACTTCAGACCTGAAAGCTTTACAATAGTAGTTTGGGCAGATCTCAAATGCCAGAAAGCACAATTGTCAGCTGTTGCTACAGATGTTTTCACGACTTGGTAAAAGGACTGCCTGCATAAATCATTTGTTTTCCTAACTGCATCAATTGATTTGATTACAGCTGTGATTTCTCCCTAACATACTTATGCTACTATTATTACTACTAAAAATTGCTGCTTTAAATATCTCAAAAAGATGGCAGGTAAGTCAGATTACTTATGTATTTTATTGAAAAAGATGTATACTATGAAAACAAGAGAAACCAATAGTAATTGATAGAGAGTTTGGGGTTTTTTAAAGATAGACCAACATTGCAAATAATTAATGGTGCACAAATGTTTCAGGACATATTTTCAATGCTCTCTTGACAGGAAATAGAATCACTACAGAGCATGGCGTGCAACATGCTCAGGTTCTTTTATAAGCAGAGGATCAACAAAGCCTTTAGACAGAAAGCAGCATTTGTCTCATGTGGGACATTACAAGTTCTACAGTGTAAATGTGAAAGACGTAAAAAAGAAAAGGTGAGTTGTACTCAACTTTAGTGAGTAATAGTTTAACTACTTGCCTTATTTTCTAGAGCTCTTCAACACAGACTGCTCTTCAACACATCTGCCTCTAAAAGATACAACCATCTTGCACATGTTCCATGCCAAAGGAAGTTTCCTCTGTATAGTATTTGTCTTGTAATAGACATTAAGCCCAAATCATCTGGAGGTCTATGGTGAAGATACCTGCTCTGGTCCAGTGGTGAACTGAATTTCACTAACTAATTCTCCAGTGAGAGACAAGGACCAGACATGTGCAAAGAAGGCATTTAAACTTCTCTGGAGTATTGTCAGAGTTGTGACTTCTCACTAACTCTAAGAGTAATGTTTAATTTGGTTTCTCTCAACAAACAATTAGGGTGAGATTCTCTATTTTCTGTAATATCTTTGGTCTTTATTTTAACCACAATCTCTCAAATTCAACAAGAACAATTGGGTATGATAATATTTAGGTTTTTAGTCTTTGGCAGAATCTTCTTTTTGAGGTGCTACTTAAATGTAGCACAGTGTTCTACCAACTGCTGTAGCAAAGGAAGAATGTTCTTTTAAGTGTGGCTCAGTGTTACCTATTGAACACAAAAATATTAACCAGCATCAAAAAGTCTCCTCATAGGCACCAAAAATATAATGTTTAAACAGATGGATTGAAGGCTTCATTTAGCTTTTTATTTTTCTCTTTGAAGTAGAGAGACAGCCTGGGACACGATCTTCAAAGAAATGTTGGTGTTTATATTTTGCCTTGTTACCTCTGGTGAATCCAACATTTGCCTTACTTTAAAGGTATCCCAGTCAAGTCACAGAAGTCAGTGTCACCCTTGCAACTTCTGCCTAACCTTATGGATTCCTGCTTTTATTTAAAGATTTAATTTTAATTAAAGTAATTTAGAAAAAAAATATGAGCAGTCATTGAATATGAACAAGAACTACAGTAGTTTTGTCTGGCTGAGATCTTGAACATTAGAGCACAGCATCAGCCCCTTTAACTGTTCTGTCTTGTTCCATTGGTCTTGACACATACAGTCAAAGTTTAGCTCACAAATTAATTTTCTCAGTCCTTCAGACAATGGAGGATAAATTTTAATCTGTGATGGAGGATGTACATGTTCTCGGTTGGACACGCTTGTTTCAGATGTCCTTATTTGCTCTGAGTTAAAGCCACATTCTCACAGTCCCATGGGCAGGGTCTCTCCAGTATTCAGGTGTAAAGCAATTGGTTTCCTTTGAAAGGTGGCTACAAAAATAGAATAAGCAGTTCTCAGATAACAATTCAATCTGTTCTCTTTCAGGTTTGCTCAGATGTATTTAGTTTAGAAGATACAGAGACAGGTGAACAGTCTAAAAAGAAATGTAACCAAGAAGTTTGTGAACTGAAAGAAAATATATCTAGCCTTCGATCCTGCTGGAATAAATTTGAAAAAATAATTTCCAGGTGATTCCAGGTGAATCCTGCTCTTTTCTTTCAAAGTGGCATTACTTGGTACCTTTGCATTTTATATGCATTCTTCAAGTAAACTTGCTCGCTTATATGAACACTTTATGCCAGAATTCTGATGGGAGGCTACTGTACCTTGTTCCTGGAGATGACAGAAACAGAAATGGCTGAACCAAGCTGCCGAAGTCCGAGAAGTGGAAATATAAGACCAGCATTTGAAAAAAAGAACTCTGCAGAAGTCTGTGTCCACCTTTTGTGCTCTGGAAACTACCCTGAATTTTCCAATTCTTTGAGTAACTTTATAGTACTGTCATATGAAAGCAGCCACTTACATGTCTACTGGATTTTACAAAAAAATCATGGAATCTGCAGGTGAAGAAAAAAAGAGTATGAAAAAGTAGCTGGTTTCTTTATATCTATGCAAAACACACCAAGGATCAAAAGTAACAATTTACCAAAGCAGCAGATTATCTTGGATATGTTCTCCTGACACAGAAGTGGTTTTGGTGTGGGTCCGATGAGTCTGCTAACTGATTTGGGTTTGGAAAAACAGGGAAAAAGTTAGCTTTTTGAAAAACTGAAGAAGGGTACTGATTTTTGAGAGGTGCAGCATGCCTCTGCTGGCTGAAGCACAGGCAAGACTGAATCCTGTGGAAGAAGAAAAAGATGCCTGAATGTAAGCTGTTCAGTTGACTGGAAACAGCACTACACTCATTCATTTTATCAACCCAGTGTTAGCTGCAGGAGGAGCTAGAATTCCTTAGCTTCAGATTGTGATTTCTCATATGCAAATATTTTATGTAACATGTTTTAAGATGTTAGGCAAACATGACTTAAAATATGTGAATATTGTCAGAGAATAATATATTGGCATTTAACTAATAAAGTGCTCATATTTTATTTTGAATAAATAGAAGTATTTTTATAGTTATTACACTTTTGCAGTTTCTTACTTTGATATAACTCCTTTGGTAATAAAATATTTGTCTTCTATGAAATTGGGCTGTTCACTTTTTGACTACCATTACTCGTTTTTTAGGTTTTATTCAGAGATAGTCAGTCATTTGAAGCCCAGTTTCAAGTTCTTATCCTGAAATACCCATTTCTTAGCTGCTTGTAACCTACCCAATTTAGGTAAACATTTTCATACCTGCCTTGGACTGAATACTTCAGGAAAGCTTTAGTTTAGTCAGCCTGTTGTTTCCTGGTTTGAAGTAAACTAACATAAATTGTTTTATCCGTGCTAAAAGAATTTTTCTGTAAAACTACTCTGTAAAAATGTTGGTATTCAGAACAAACACCCTAAAAACCAGTAGGATGTGCTTCAAAGACATGTTTGCTCAGTTGATTGTAAACAGCACTAGTTTATGTATTTTACTGGAATAAGATTGCTGTACTGAATCTGAGAGGGAAGAGGTTAAGAGCAAAGCATGCCATGCTTTCCTGAAATACACCCTCTCCAACCCCCCATGTATTTATGGTGACGATGAGGCAGGAGTGGTAGCTTTGTAAACTGTGACTGAGAATTTCACATATCCTCTAGCTCTTTGTACAAGAGATAGCAACTTGCTCCAAACACCTTAAAAAACTGAAACCAACCCCAACCCATAAATCTTTTATGGAACAGGGAAACATTTCCCAGTATCAACTACAGATAATGTAACCACAATTGTAAGGACTTCACTGGAAATCCTTTCTTCTGAAAGAGGACCCAGGAGACTGCGGATTCAGTTCGTCTCCGAGACTGAAGAACAGTTGTTTTGCTATTTTTTTGGAAATTCAGCAATAGTTCAAAGCCAGCACTTATTTCCTAATAACCATTTGGCAAGCAAAGAGCAGTGTGAGTTAAAACAAAAATACACAGATGCAGTATTAGCTACTACAAAACTGAAAGGTCAGTCAGTTTAAGTTACTTATGCAGCAGTCCACAACTTAAGTCTTGAGAGAAATAAAGCACTTCCAGGACTACCCTGGGCCAAAGACCAAGGGTAGATCCAGAGCAGAAATTTAAATGAAGTGATTATGAAATTGTGGATTTCTTCTGATTACTTCTCTTAATAAATATCCTGCCTGTCTGATTTTTGTTGCCAAATTTCCTGTTCTCACCACTTACATGTAAACATTAACTGCTAAATGCATTGACTTGTGCTCTTTGATTTGTTCCTTCAATTTGAGAACTTCCTCAGGTTTCCTGAACTTACAAATGTGGCACTAAAGCGCTTTTCAGCAACTGGCAAAGGAATGAAAACCGTGCATGGTATCAATCACCATCATGCCTACCTCCCTGCCACCTTCACTTATGCATTTAGTTACTTATTTGGCCACAGAAAAGAAATGAGTAGGTCAAAACCATGGTTTAGAAGTACATGGAATTTATGGGAAAGTGTCAAGGATAAAAATAGAGGTATTTAAATGGAAAGGATTTTCACAATGTTGTTGCAAGAGGTTCAGGTTTGAGACCATCTAAAGAACCTGCACAAGTCCATGGGACCTGATGTAATACACCTGTGGGTTCTGAGGGAACTGGCAGAGGAAGTGTCCAAGTCACTATCCATGATATTCGAGAAGTCCTGGCCCTCCAGTCCCTTTGGATGGCATCCTGTCCTTCAGCTTGCTCAGGGTACACTCAATCTCACTGTGTCATTGATGAAGATACTAAAAGAGCACCAAAACAAGAGTCTTAAAACAAGAGTCCTGAGGGATAGCACTCAATACCAGCCTCCACTGAACAGTCTACCCTTCAAATCTGTATCTCTCCAAGTACATTAAAGAGCTCAGTAGAAGGAAGTTTCCCCTAAAAAAAGAATGATAAAAGGCATTGATCTCTATTCATCCATATTTAGCAAAAAAAAAAAAAAAAGGCAATCCAAACCATTATTGAAATTTCTGCTCACATAAATGAATTTCTGAAGAAAAATATAAACAACTTTCCTTTTTTTCTTAATAATTTCATCAATACAACAGTGCTCTAATGTCATGAAGGAGAACAAACCCAGATCAAGCTAACTATCCCTTACAGTTTTATTATTAAGAAGAAAAAAAAGAAATACTAAAGATGTCGCAGTGATGGGCTCTACATAAAGTAAATTCTCAGTATAGCTGGGGAAATAGAGGAGATAGAGGGTTAACTTTATATAAGCAGATCACACTGATTTAAATATCTGGTATGTTTTTCAAGGTGACTTAGGAATTCAAATCTCATCTCACTCAATTAAAACCCCTATTCTTTTTGTACCTGAGATCAGACATCACAATACGACTGAAATTATATTACCTACCTGTATGCTATGTTATAGAAGGTAATTTTACATGAAATTATATTACCTACCCGTATGCTATGTTATAGAAGGTAATTTTACATTTGACTACAAAAAATTGCACATCACAAGAAGCTTTATTGGCATATTTGCTTTATTGTTAACAAGTGCCAAATTAGCATTAGGTGGTGATTTACATTTATTAATTAAAACAGAACTGACACTTTAAAATAAACATAGTATAAAAAGTAAGAGGCAAACAAATCAAGGAATTCTGGCAAAAAAAACACCTCACTGGATGGTCGCAAACAAATATTCCATGTACTGAGGGGCAAGGCAAACATAATAAATGCAATGGTGAAAAAATTAATCACATCCAACACATGAATGAACACACAATTTAAAAATGCAGAACATTAATAAATAAACTTATGAAGAGAAACATTTATGTGTCATATGAAGGATGAACACCAAGAGTTAAAGCAATCAAATAAAGTAGGTTTTGTAACAGTTGTACTGTACTCAGCACTTTACAGATCCCACCCAAATCCATTCATGGTTCTGCCAGAAAGCCAAACTGAAATACAGAACTATGGTAAACCATGCACTTCTGTTTAGAACATGGGTTCAGTATTCAGCCATATTAAACTGAGCATTTCATTTGCTGACTAAAATGTTTAGATTAGGAAAATATAATTTCCCTATTGATTATTTTTGTTAAGAACGAACACTTATTAAGAGAAAATATGAGGAAGCTGCTTTCTGGCAAGATGAAGTAGAATGGGACTGAATAGGATCCTCCAGAAATGTATATTATTCTGGACTGATGTAACACCAAAAAACCAAACCCAAAACAAAACAAAAAATGAACTAGTATGCAAGAGTAATCTCTTATACTGTGAATACTGGAACGAAAGAATCAACCAAGTAACTACTGAATTCAGCTAATGAAGTCTTTTACCTAACACTTCTTCCAACAACACAATTAGGTCACTCAAACCTTACTTAGCAAGATGGAAAAAAAACAACCAAACCAACCAGCAACAAAACAATCACAAGTTAGAATAAGCTGTACTTGAAAGGCTATTAAACTATTTTCACCAGTCACTGAAACAAATTTTACCAAAGATGAAAATTCCACCTTCTCATACAACCCATTTAACTATTCGTAGCTTAGTCAAACTGGATAGAAATAAAATTGAAAAAAGTGCTCTTACTAAACACAATTTCTTCAGCCAAGATTAAAAACACTCATAACAGGTTTGTTCTTTGCAGATATACAAAGTCTATGTGATGGAAACTAGCACTTCTTGTGACCTTTGTAATACATAGACAATACCATTCTATTTTATATGCAGACTGTTTACACAGTCTACATCAGTGTGCACGTATCTTGTTTATTTAAAGTACTGCAGTCACACCTCCTCCCTCCTGCTGACTCGGTAAGCAGGCATCACCGAAACGCTCTCCCTGCATTTTGGGCACCAGCTCTCAGCTGTGATGGTGAATTAGGAGCTAGTCCCTTGCAGATGGCAGAGCACTTCCATGATGCATAAAGCCTGGGTCAGGTGTTACAATACACCCTGTGCCTTGCCCTGCTGTGAAGGCACAGGACGTGTGGCTGCACTGGAGCAGCCGCTGCCCCAACACGCGGGAGAGGCTCAGAGCTGGAGCACCAAGGAGAGCTGCCCCTGCCTGACCCCCTCCCAGCCAGGGAACGCTCAGGCGGAGCTTTCCCCCTCCCTCCAGTCTCTTTGGCAAATTTGAAAAATTCTGCCTTTATGTCAATTTCATAGTTACAACATGAAATGGGGGTGAAGCACTTCCCTGTGCCCACCTCCCTGCAGTGGTGTGTAATTATTCATATAAATACATATTTTAATTACTGTATATTTGGAGATTCCAGTTCTGAAACTACCTAGGGTGTGGGCATCATGCATAAATATAAGCCAGTGTAAGGTACATTATATAGCAATTAAGCTTTATGCTATGCTGTTTTTACTACTGAAGCTGGCATTTTTCATAACTCCATTGCATTTTATCAGCATAGTTCCAATGATCTTGCACTACTTCCTGGCACAGAGAGGTCCTTCGTAAAAGAGAAAATCACAAAAGTAGAATGGGAATGCAAACTCCCTCAAGCCAAACACCAAAAGCAGTCTCTTCTTTTTTCTATAAATGGAATTTTACTGTTGACCTTTTACCCCCCCACCTTCTTTAAAGAATGGAAGAACCTTAGTAAGAACATTAGGAAGATAAAATGGCAGACAGTAAATCTGTCATAAGGTTATACACTGGTATGGGAATCATCACAACGATTGCATCACTATATTTCACTATAAACAGACAGTGCATAGTTCATGTTTTTTCCTCCCATGAAAACCAAGGCATAAGGGTGTAGAGAAGACTAGGGCAAGAGGGTTTGGATGTAGATCACCAATAAATTAAATTTGGGAACTTCCTGACACATGTAATATACTAAAGATTGAAAATTCAGTCCAACTCCCTGAATTTTTTTTCTTTAAATATAAAAAATTTGTTTCCCACATTCAGTTCTTTGGGGATGTAATGAAAA